TATATATATATATATATATATGTCCAAAAAATAAGCTTACAATAAATAAAAAGAAACCTTTCTTGCTCAATTTTCTATGTTATTTTTTTGTTTACTTTTTCACAAAAATTAGACCAATCTCTCAAAATTTCTCACACAACATTTTACCAAATGGACATTTTACACCAGCGAACGAAAAGATTGAAATGGATTAAAATGGATTCAGATTTTCAGAAATACAGATTCATGAAAATGAATCCTTTTCAATCCTGAATGCATTTTTATTCATTTATAGGAATTACATAAAGTAAATATATATCTATGCCTTTTCAATCCTGAATGTATTTTTATTTATTTATAGGAATTGCATAGAGCATATCTCTATGCCTTTCAATCTAAAAATAATATTAGCATTTTCTATGCATCGTAAATACTATTCAATTTAGAATTGTGAATAGTAAGTACAATTTTTTTAATTCAGTTAAATTAAAAAATAATATTAAATAATAATACCAAATAATAATACCAATAATAATAATTTAATAAAATAAATAATAAATTAAATAATAATACCAATAATAATAATTTCTGTGCAACGTAAATACTGCTCAATTCAATATTCTGAATATGAAATGCAGTTTTTCAATCTAATTGAATAAAAAAAGTTTTTATTAAAAAATGGATCAGAAATGCTATTTAATTATTCAAAATTATAAGTAGGAAATTTTTTGTTTTGATCCAAGTTCAAAAAATTGTAACATAAAAATAATTGAGCTATGTTCTTTTGTATCTCTTTAATTATAAAAGTAAAATGAATGATCGATGTGAACACTTGCAAACTAAGTCGAACACAACTCGAATATTACGCTAATCACTGCGCGCAATATCGGCCAAGTGAGATTAAATTATCCGATGTTGTTGACACTTATCCAATGTTGTCTTACAGTAATGTAAATTGTTTATATTTTATTATATCTGTTAAATGATGATATTTTTATTATATCTAATTTTGTTACTAATTTAGCTAATTGTAATTGAAGTAGAAAATGAATAACATATTTATCAATTGAAGAAGTGATATAGCGTGTAACGTAGAAGATTCACAATCCAGAGACTCGAAGCCCATTAAGGTGCGTTTTTTAATATCAATTTGAAGTAGTTAATTTTAGATATAATTATTATAAATGTCTTAGGAATAAAATTTATAATCCTTAAATAATGAATGTTTTTTTTTCGAATATTAAATTAATGTCAGCTCGGATTCAATCCATTTCAATCTTTTCGATCCATTTTCATGGATTTAAAGTACACAAAAAAAATTTCAATCCATTTTAATCCATTCTCGTTTACTGGGGAATACACGTAATACTTCCCTCTAAATTTCTACTCTGAACCATGTATGCTTAAAAGAGAAATGTGGAAACGTTTAAATAGAGAGAGAGAAAGAGAGAGAGAGAGCAATAAAAAAAGGAGAAAAAGAGAGGGGATAACTTACTTATTTCATGCATGCGCATTCCATTTTGGTCAACATAAAATCAAGAGAGTTGCGCTACTGTATATATTGTGGTGAAGAATTCCATGGTGTGTTCAGCTTGGCCAAACCACGCCTACTTTTGCTCTGCGTCATCTCTAAGGGTATGATCAATGTGATATATAAATATCACTATAAATGCTTTAAAGTGTTTTTTAATTAATCAACTTGTAATATTCTTTCTTCTCCATCAAATGCTTCAAATTTGTAACGAGATTTGACCACATCCTCAGTGCACAATCTATCAACCATGAAACGCGAAACATGGGGCTATATGTATAGTCCGTTTTTACTTTAAAATCATCTTAAATATATATAATGTTTTAAGATGTTAATACATCCTCGGATTGACTTACGATATCTTAAGTTTTAAATGTAAGAATCGACTATAAACCGACCTGTTTCGCGTCATGAAGTTAGTACTCTTTCCTCGTGTAAGAAAAGATTGCTTAATGAATCTTAAGATATCATAAATCAATTCGAGGACTGTACATAGACTTATAAGATAAATGGAGCATTCATATGAGAGAAACTGGAGACTTGATAGAAAGAGAAAGAAATAATCGCGGAGTAGTTCTCTTCTTTTCTAGTGAATTGATTGGTTGCCGCGGCAAGCTAGCCGAGAGCAATGAAGATAAATGTTCGAGAGTTGTGGCTTTACGATCAAGCTGATTGGCCCTCCCACCGCTCACTGTAAAAGAGAGAAACAACTGTCTAGAGCTGTCCTTCAATGTCTTCAGTTTCTCTCGTATAAATGCTCCATCTATTTTATAAGTCTATGGGACTGTATTAACATTTTAAAACCCGATGTCCACCATGCTAGAAATTGGTCCGAAATCTCGGACAGAGAAAAAATTAATAATTCACATTTGAACAATTTGATCATATGTCCATTGCGATTGGTCAATTCTTTCTTCATCCGAGGTCTCCGATTTTTAGCATCGTGGATACAAGACATTATATTTAAGATAGTTTTATAAAAACGAACTATGAATATCGCCCCGTGTTTCACGTTTCAAGTTGTAGGTCTTGCGGAACGCAAAGGAACAGAGAAACGATAGAGAGCGCTAATTTTAGAGAGAGATACTTGCAAACTGAGCACACATAGGTCTATTTTCTATGAGCTAAATATACTTTTAGAACTTAAAGTGAGATAGATATACGTGATATTTGATATTTGTTAAAGCGAGAAAGAGAGTTCTAGAACAGTTTAATGCAGGAACAAAAAACAGACCACATGTAATTCTTTCATCACAACTTCGACTATAATCAAAGTAGCGTACGATAGAAGACCACGAAACAGCGTTTAAAAACTGTTCGCTCTTCCTTTTCATGCGTATTTTCACTGGCTTTATTAACCCTTTACCCCGGATTTATAATACATTTTTAAGCCATAAGGAATGGACGAATCACAATCAATTATTCTTCTTGTATTTGATTGTTTCTTTCCGAGAAAATTTTGGATCATAGCCCAAATACAGAAAATTTTACTGGAAATATATAATAATGTATACTATAATATATAGAGTAAAATCTTCCTCGGAAAAAAAGTTTTGGAACACCTTGATCAATTTCTTAAAACCTAAGGCTTGAAACACCTATTGTAGATTCGGATTTGCTTATGCAAATTAATAAGATTTACAATAGAAATTGTAGCGGTCGTAGAGTTTTAAGTCGTAGAAAATTAACCAATCACAATCAAATGTGAGAAGAATAATCGAATATAATTGATCAATTTTCTATGATTTAAAACCTTACGACCGCTATGACTTCTATTGTAGACCCCACATTAAACTAATAATGGAGAACTCATTTATTTTTGCTAGCTTTCAATTCATTTTAATAAAAATGGATTATGAAAATAAATCGAGTACATAAAAGAATATACCTGCATAGTAGCAACTACAGCTGCAACAGAGATTTAGAGGTGATACATAGTGGTTGCAATTGTTATGCGGGATCTACAATGAGAGCTTTCCATTTGATGACAAGTTGATACAAGTATCGTTTACTCTTTGTCACTCTCTGAATATCAAGAAAGATAGAACGATACTTGTGTCGACTTGTGTCATTAAACAGAAAGCACCCATTAGAAGTAACAGTCGTAGAGTCGGTTGTTCCATCTTGTGATAAATTTTATTACCTATAGGGTAAGTAGCAAGATTATCCAATCACATGCGGATTTATCTCACCTTTGGTAAAATTTATCAAAAGATTGAACAATAGGCTCCCGTAGGAGCTTAAGTCATAAAAAATTGATCAATCATAGATCGATTATTTTTCTCATATTCGATTGTGATTAATTTTCTACGACTTAAAATTACTACTGCTACGACTTAATTATTATAGACTCGGCCGATTCTACATTAGTTGCAAACCGATCGCAAGTTTGTTGCGACAGCCAATATGAAGCGTTAATTTCAAAATGCAAGTTTCAGATTAGCAACAAACTTGCGATCGGTTTGCAACTAATGTAGAACCGGCGGAGTCTATAATAATTAAGATAACAATTATCAAAAAAGAACAAATACTAGACATTTTAAAAAATCGCAGCGAACATCGTGAACATTGCATATCCGTATGTGCACGATGTAAACTAGTTATTATCACGTGACAAGAAATTGGCTCGAGAGCCAAGCAAACAGTTTTTTGCTTTTCGCATTCGCATTTTTTCGCATTTTTCCGATTTTCGCCAATGAAATACGTTGGCTAGCGCGAAAGACCAGGCGCGAAAGATTCGTGTCAGAGAAGAAGAAAGGATCGGTTCAGAATAGCTGCTTGAGTTCAAGTCCTCGAATACATTTATTCTCCACTGCACGTAATACTGTAATACAGGATTTAATGGAGCGCGAAAAGAGCATAACTTATTTTATCTCATGATTCGCTTACGATTCCGGTTCGCGCTGCTCCGGAGTATTCGCGCAGATCATGCGTGAACCGCTAATTGGCTCCATTTGAACCCGCGCGGCAGTGTCGCTCCACCTAAGCAGTGATGGTCGCCGAGATTTTCTTATAGTATACTTACTGAGCGATTTGTTGCGTTCAGCAGAAAAAGCAGTTTTGCAAGTTGCAACTCTTGTAAAATTCTTGAATATGATTAGTTTCTCATGGATCTAAATATATAAATAGTTTGCAAAGTTGCTTTTTTGCTGAACGCAGCTATTGCATATGATTAGTTGGATCTATAACTAACAACCAATTATATTCATTTGCTCAGCGAACAGCCGCTTTGTTGAGCATGAACTTGAATGCACCCAATGATTGGCTATTGCGCTAACTTCCGCCACGCAGTAATTGCCGCGTTCTGTCTGGAGTGCGTTCCAAAACTTAACTATAGTAATCAATATTCTATAGTTGACGTTACGTAAACTGTAGAGCTTTGGTTACTGTAGTTACGAAATGCAGTCTTGTGGGAGCGGTGAGAATTATGGTGTCGCTATCATCAATTTTTAAAACGGAAGTAGCATCATGTAGCATGCTGTAAGCTGTAACACGCTTCGCTGCATTTCGTTACACGTTTGTCCTGTCTGGAATGTAATTTTGCAACAATTTTATTAGTTGTTGTTTCATAATTTTAATTGAAAAGCATTTTCAATTGAATCATTCCTGGAAAGGTAAGTTATACGTATGAAGTATTTGCAAACATCTTGCACATGAAATGAAGGTATTATAATTTAAATATCTTGATCTGGAGATAACCCTCAATAGCCGCGTTCAATACAAATCTGAGGCGTCAAAGTACTCTTTTCCTACAGTGCACGTGACATATGCTATAATATAAGAGCACTCCGATGCCTCAGATTTGCAGATTGCACCGAACGCAGCTAATATATTATGATTGAAATGATATATCTCACATTTTTTTGGCATTGCAGAAATTTATTTTTTTATTTATTTTCCAAATGAAGACTAAGATAATGCACAAGAAAGGGAAGAAACGGTCTCTTAGTGAAACTTCTGTTTCTAAAGTAAAATTGAATAAAAAACAAGAGAATGTTAATGAATTTAATAAGAGTCCCAAAAGAGCCAAAATTGGTTCTAAGCAAAATGGAAATCCTACATTGATGGGAAGAACCCAAATCTTTAAGGTAGTAGACAAGCAGAAAAAGGAACAGAATAAGATAATCGAACAACAGAATAATATCGTGAAATCGGAAACGAAGAAAGATACAAAAGAAACGGCAAAATTAATGATTGTTAAACCTAAGAATGAGACTATTGGTAAAAGCAGCAGTCGGCCGAGGAAGAGATATCCTTACAGAACTATTACTCTTACTGCAGAACAGATAACAAAAAAGATAACAGAAATCAAGGGCAGAGAAGTGCTATCAAAGAGAGCACACAGAGTATTAGGTAAACTTAACAGAAAATTGAGAGAAATTATAAATGAGTCAGAGAAATTAGATACAGTAGGAAAGAAAAATAAAAAAATAGAACATTATGCAAATGCATTGATGAAGAATAAACAGAAAGTTAATGATGAAAATAAATTGAAAGTAGAAAAGAAACATGTACAAAGTAAAAGTAAACCACAAGAGGAAGATGAAAACGATAGTGACATTAAGGAAGATGAAGATAAAGATAGTGACATTGAGGAAGAAAGTGACAAGGATGAGAGTGACGAAAGCGAGGCAGAAAATGAATTTGTTGATAATAAAAAACTAGAGATTGATAACGAAAGTGATAAAGATGAAGAAACTGATGAAGATGAAGAGGAAGTAGAGGAAGAAGATGAAGGGGATGTAGAAGATAAAGAGGATGTAGAAGAAGAAGAGGATGTAGAAGATGAAGAGAATATAAAAGATGAAGAAGATGAGGAGGACGAGGAGGATGAGGAGGAGGACGAGGAGGACGAGGAGGACGAGGAGGATGAGGACGAGGAGGACGAAGCTGACGAGGTTGAAGAAAATATAATTAAAAAAACAAGAATTTCAGCAATAAAACAAAAAGATGTACAAAATAAGAATAAACAAGTTCCTCAATCTCTGCATAATCAGAAAAAAGGAGAAGTGAACAAAAAGCGATATGTCCTATTTGTGGGCAATTTACCACTAAAGTAAGTGACTTTTTAGTAAGTGGCTTTAATATTTCTATGTAATTGTGCATGTATGTGTGTGTATGTGTGTGTGTGTGTGTGTGTGTGTGTGTGTGTGTATGATGCATACTTGTATGTGCACACACACAAAATAATGTTAATATCTAATTTACAGTATAACTGAGGATGAGATCAAACGGCACTTTTTGACTAAAGTTGGTACAATAATTAGCATTAGAATTCCAACTAAATCAAATAAAACACCACGTGGCTTTGCATATGTGGAGATGACAAATAATATAGATTTTGAGGTAAAAGAATTTTATGCTGTTTTTGCTATATCTTTATTAAACAATTTATTGTAATACGACTTTTGTTTTTAACAGAAAGGTCTCTCGTTAAATCATACGTTTTTAAAGAAAAAGAGGATCAATGTTCAATATTCGATGCCTATGAACAGCAAAAAGACAGATACTACTAAAAAGCTCGTAGTTGCCAAAAATATGAAGCTACAAGCGCTTCAGAAGACTGGAAAATTAGCTGATGGGAATGAAAAAAAAAAGAAGCTTAAAAAAGAGAAATAGGACACTGATCAAAATATAATGAAGTGAATAGGATTAATCAATAAAAGAACTATTTGCAAAATGTTTGCTTCCAGCAATTAGCATTTTGAAATGAAAGAGCGAATTTAATAAGGAAAAACATTTTTTTTTACATGTTTAGTACATACCTCCTCTCATATTTTCCTATAATTTTGTAAATTTATGTATTTTGTAGAACATATTCCAAGAAGGAAAATTGATTACGTTTACATGATCATCCTTAATCGGATTTAATAACATTCGCAGTTTGAACTAACCAATCACAATCATTCCATTCTTTAGAGGAATAATTATGATTAATTAGTTATAATTACAAATATTATTAAACCTGATAAGGATATCGTGTAAACGTGATGATTGTCTTGCTGAAGTCCTATTTTTTAATTTCACTTTTTAATGTCGGTAAGTTAAGAAATGATAATTCTTATCTCTGCATTTTTATGCATATTCTTATGCTTTGCTTTAAGTTAGTTATATTGTATAGAGGACAGTCTGAAGTAGGCGACCTAGGCAATTGCCTGGCATTGTATGCATCTAGTAGTCGGTTCGGTGCAAGCTTGGGGGGCTCTGTACAATGGAAGGAACAGGGAACAGAGAACAAAATAAGAATTTCAACATATCAGAAACTGTGTATTCCACAATACATGATACTATTCCTTTTATTGTGCGGAATCCCTTAATGTGTTGAAGGAACAGGTAGCGGGATTCTCTAAATGTCTGTATCTCTATTGATGAGAGTCACTATTGTTAAGTAGCAGGTGGCAGGACAATTTTGGAAAAAAGCGCTCATTGATTGTCTAGCTAGTTAACGATGTCGATAAAATGTTTAAAGAATCCTGCAACAGGTCAACATTCTATCTGTTGAACAAAAATCTACACCTATCATCGGAGAAGTGTAGTTTGGTTATCTTTAATAGGTCCAATCTGCCAACAAATAATTTACAGATTAAAATAGATATTATTACTATTAAGCCGTTCTCCCAGCAAATGAAAATGGATTAAAATGAATTGAAATTTTGTTCTATCCGAATGCGTATTTTAAATAGCGAATTTTTGGATTTAATTGGATTCAACTAGATTCAATTGGATGCAATTGGATTGAAAAATTTCCTATTCAAAATTTTGAATTAAACAGTATTCACAATGCACAGAAAAAGCTAATATTATTTTTAGATGCTATAATAATAGAGATATGTTCCATGCAATTCTTATAAATGAATAAAAATGCATTCAGGATTGAAAAGCATTCATTTTAACATTCATGAATCAATATTTCTGAAAATCTGAATCTAGTTCAATTCACTTTAATTCATTCTCGTTTGCTAGGCATAGTCTTATTTACGACTATTAAACATATTAGTAGTTCTAGTTTAAATGACTTTTTAATTTTCTCTGATTTTAAAAGTGATTTTAAAAGATTTTAATTCAGTTAAAAAATAATATCAACCTTTTCTGTGCAACGTAAATATTGCAATTCAATATTCTAAATATGGAATGCAATTTTTCAATGTAATTAAATAAAAAAAGTTTTTATTTAAAAATGGATCATAAATGCTTAAATTATTCAAGATTATATAGTAAGTAGAAAATTTTTTGTTTTAATCCAACTAAATTCAAAAAAGTAACATAAGAAAATGTTTTGTAACGTAAAAATAATTGACCTATAGTTTTTTTTTGTTTCTCTTTGATTACAAGTAAAATGAATGATCGATATATTCGCAAATCAAGTCGAACACAGCCCGAATATTACGCTGATCACGGCGCATGACATCGACCAAGTGAGATTATCTGACACTTACTCAATGTTGTCTCATAGTAATGTAAATTGTGTATATTTTATTATATCTGTTAAATAATGATATTTTTATTATATCTATATAATTTCGTGCACGGATTTAGATTGAAGTATAATTGTAATTGAAGTAAAGAATGAATAATATTAATTGAAGAAGCGGATAACGTAAAAGATTCATAATCCAGAGACTCGAAGCTCATTAAAGTGCGTTTTTTAATATCAATTTGAAGTATTGGGTTGTCCGGAAAGTTCGTGCCGACTAACCTATATAATTTAATAAATGTATACTAAAATTTAAATTTTTCTACGTTTCAATTTTCTTTCAACATTGGTACGAACTTTCCGGACAACCCAATAGTTAATTTCAGGTATAATTATTATAAATGTCTTAGGAATAAAATTTATAATTCTTAAATAATGAATGTTTTTTTTTCGAATATTAAACTAATGTCAGCTCGGATTCAATCCATTTCAATCTTTTTGATCCATTTTCATGGATTTAAAGTACGCAAAAAAAATTTCAATCCATTTTAAACCATTCTCATTTGCTGGGCATTTTCTTCATTTAGGTGACTCATATGATATCTCTCATATTATATCTATCTATTAGGTGTACAACTTTGCTTCCGCCGTTTTTTTTCCGAAATTCGAGGCTTTATTGTAAAAAACTGGTTATACATTTATGATTCAAAGTATTGTCCATCGCTGGCCACTACTTTCTCCCATCTTTCGGGTAGCGTACAAATCCCGCGTC